AAATCAACCAATGAGGAAATTTTTGGAATAAGAAGAGACTGACCTGTGTTATGGAGTCTAGCCTCTGTGACACGAACTTGAGAGGATATGCATAGAAGTATGTGAAGCAAACTTAGAAGAAGAAGAAAAGCTTTTGTTGTTTTCTTCATATTTCATATGTACTTGTTTGATTCCCAACCTGTGTAACATGCTGAATGCTGGCCAGTAGGATAAATAGAAAGTTCAAGCAGAATAATAATAGGAAGCTGGGGTTAAGATAATGAAACATATATTGAATATAAAAAATTTGAATTCAAACTTCAACGGTTTCTTGTTTTTTAATGTTTACAAATTTTTATTCAAATTATTGAAACGTGTCTATGTGAATCAATTTACAAAAGTATAAGAGCATCCACAACAAAGAATTTTTAGGGATAATATTTAAGAAAATATTAATTTTATAATCAATAGATCCATGAATAGTTAAAAAATTTATTCTTAAAAATCTTATTTAAAGATTAATACTTTTTTTTCTTTTTTTTTTCTAATGATTCCCTATAAGGACTCTTTATTGTGGATGCTCTAATGTTTTGCTTCGATATCCTACAATGTTGACCGTTAACTACAAGTCTATTGTGGAACATATCAGCCCTGTTCTTTTTGTAAAGGCTGCGACAGCATTAGTGTTCAAAAATTACACTTATTTCCAAGGCAAATATACCGCTGGCGGAGCAAACCCGATTTGTTTTCCCAGTCGCTGCGGCAAAAATAAATAATAAATCTGACGTTGAATGGTAGTAGCGGTGGCGTCTTCCGCTAATTGTGTCTCTGTCAACTTGTTGGCGTCAGATTTAGATTTCAAAACCCGTTCAATTTTCCTTTGTCATAGTGTTTTTATTCTGACACCACCGCTGCCGCCAGCGACCATTAAAAGAACAGGACTATCGTTGATTTCGCCAAATTAAACATAGGCACACCTCTTATTGCCTTAGCTGATGTACAAAAACTAATATATCCGCTTTTTAAGATTTCGGATTAGTGATCTATGGATGAAATATGTCACTAGACCAGCGATTTGATAGCTGAAACATGTCGATGATCGACAAAACCTATCATTAAACCAAAGATTTTATTTTGTTTATCAAAGTAGTTTAGATGTGTTGTGTTAAACATAATGATCTTTGTTTATATTCATTTGATTTTCTTTTCTTTTTCACACCATGCATACGTCTATTTTTGATTTGTTTTTAAATGTCTACGTACTTAGCTATAGAAAATATCGAAGCGAGAGGACCATATACAATTCAACTTCAAAGTGTGGTTGTATGTTAACGTCTGCATGCACTAAATATATATATATATCCTTCCGTCGATCTCCCTGTCGAGTCACAACACTTAATATTCCATCCCAATAAATTATACATCTACATCAGACAGTCGCATATACATATGACATATGGTCCATGACACACATATATTATATGCTTGTAGGTATTTGCTTTCTGTAGAAAGATACCACACATTTCATATATTACTACCCTATAGTCTAGCTTGTGCTTAACCAAAATGTAAAGAGTTTGGACAGTATCAAATTAACCACTATAAATTTATAATGTGTCCTTACTATTGCTGAGCTCTCTCGGTCACAAACATATACTTGGAGACGGCAGTAACGTTACCAAAGAGACATGAATTCCATATACGGACAGATGAATGTACTTTCAAATTCTGACCTCTTTATTATATCAATCATAATGTAAATATTATTTTGTTTGCGTGAGTATAAATAGTTCATTTCTGTATTTGATTAAACGTTTCGAAACTAAAAGATTTTTGTTTGTTTCATTATCAGGATCATTTAATTCCAACGTATCCCCACCGAAACATATTTCACTGGAATAAATTTTAAATCAACATCAGCCTCATGTTCCTCCCAAAAAAAATCCAACCTCTTTGAATGCTTTCTTATATTCTGCACATAAAAGTACTGAATATTCACGAATCATGCCCTCTTAACAAAAATGTTGATTTTTTATGTTTGGAAAAAATAAAAATGTTTAAATGAAAACGTTATATCATGGTACGCTATTTGATAAAAAATAAAAGTAAATAAATCATATATTCATGTAAGAAATTTCTCTTTGTTCTGGAGAAATTCTTATGTGAAATTTTGATAAAACATGCACATGCTATGTAAATGCCTTCTTATCTTGAATCTCTTCTTAAGATACTAGTTCTAATTGAGAATCTAGCCGAAGAAATTACTAATTACCCCCATTATCAAAATTTGAACTCTTTGAAAAAAAAAATCAAGAATAGGAAAATAAATAATTAAACAGAAATAAAATCAATATAAATATGATTATCATCAATATAAAGTATGATTATATCAGTTTCTAATGATCTGGGTCGAAATAGTTAGGATTGTTAACTTTTTTGATTCACCTGTTTTATTGATCTGTCTTGTAAAAATTAAGAATATGTCTATCTTTGGCTTCGAATGGGTGATCCGATCAAAAAACGCAGATCAAACAAGAATGCAGATCATACAGAACAAATGCAGATCAAGCAGAACAAATATAGATCAAACATATCATGCTAATTTAATAAATTAATAAATAAATGATAAAAAAAATTAATGAAAAATAAATATCTAAACAAAATAGAAATTATTATAAATAAGTAATAAATATAAAGTTGACGAAAAAGCAATAAATATCATCATTTTTATGAATATAATGAAATTGTAAATTAGATGAAAATTCATCACAATTAAAAAAATTATACAGAGTATTCTTATTTTGTTTTATTTTCATATCTTTATTTGTTTTTTTCGTTTCTTTCTTACCATTTCATTCAGCTATAAAACTAACACTATTATATATATATATATATATATATATATATATATATATATATATATATATATTATTGTATCAACTAACTTATTAAACGAAACGCTAGACATTTTGAATTTACGAATGGAGTTGGGTTCAATTATTCGGGTTAGAATGTTTACAATCCATTTAGGAACCAAACATTTTTAGAATAGATTGGTTGAATAATTAATGTCGGATTCATATCATATTTTTTAAACCCAAAACATAGCCGAATTAAAAATATTTTGATATATTTCGAGTTTAAAGCAAAAAAAACCCCTAAAATCTGAGTTAAAACCCTATAATCCTAAAAATATCCATGTTAAGTCGAATTTGTATTTTATTATATTTTTGATATTCAGGTATCTTATAAATTATAGTAACTTTAAAAGTAAAATAGTAGTATTTTATTATATTTTGGATATTCATGTATTTATTCAATTTTGATTCGATTTTTTTCAGATTAAAAAATATTATCCGTTCAGGTTTTGTAAATTTTGGTCTTGTTTCAGTTTCATTTTTTTGCTTATATTCTAGTTGATTATTTAGTATAGTTATATATTTTATAGCATACTAAAATAATGTATAAAATATTTTTTACAGAAAATTATTTTAAATTTATGAATATATCAAGTAATATATATATATATATATATATATATATATATATATATATATAAGTGTTTTAACATATTATAGAATTTTTGGTTAGTAAAAAAATAATTGAAGTTAGGTGAAGTATTTTTAGAGAAAAGAAAAAGAAAAAGAAAAAATCACCCATTGGGCCTCTGCTTTTGACCTGTTTTTTTTTTTTGCTGTATTTGCAGTACAATTATTTTTACATGTAGAGTGATCTGCAAGCAGATTAAACTGCAATCTATTTGTTCTGCATATTAATCATGAATGGAAGAAAAATACAGATGGCTTCGAATGGTAAAAGCAGATCAAGCGGTACAGATCAAGCGGTTCATGCAGATCAAGCAGGACAAGTGCAGATAAAGCAGGACAAGTGCAGATCAAGCAGATCAAGCGGATCAAGCAGGAGAGATGCAGATCAAACAATTTATCATAAATTATGAATGAAAAAATAAGTTCAAAACTATAGATCATATATTAAAAGAATAAAATTATACCAAATATCAATATAAATATTTAAATGTTGTAGGATCAGCCTAAATGTTTATTGGATTTTTCATAAGATGCTTGTAGCGTTTTAGTTGATCAAAATTATTTTTGAATAACAGACATCTTAATATTTAATTCTTTATTTATATTTATATATAAAAATGGAGATAAAACAGATTAAATAATTTATTATAAACTATAAATGACAAAATATGTTCACAGTATATATCATATATTAAAATAATAAAAATTACACCAAATATCAAAACAAAATATTTCAGATGTTGTATGTTCAGCCAAAATGTCTGTAAAAATTTTATTAGATGCTTATACTTCTTCTATCTATTAATTATTTTAAAATATAAAATAATTATTTTTTTGCTGACACTTATGTAGAAAAATTTATTTTTTTCGTGGAAAATATTGTGTTTTTTGGCGATTAGACATCATGCTTATAATTTTAAAATGATACAAATAATATTAATGTGAACTATATAGTTTGAGTTAATAATTGTACTTTATTTATAAAATCAAATAAATCTATTTTAAAGTTAAGTGTTTGTAATAAAACTATTTATTAGTAAAAGGAAAAAAAAAAGGCAGATCAACACCATCAAATGTTAGCGGATGGGATCTGCATGCAGATCTCCTGCTTTTTCTACTAAAAGACAAAAAAAATTGAACTGCATGCAGATCTCCCGCTTGAACTGCTTTTACAAACAGAAAATGGTGAATGGTAAATATAAGGCAGGAAAACTGCCTATTGCGGGAGAACTGCTTGATCTGCCTTTGTCCTGCCCCTTCCATTCATAACCATAGAACTGCACTTAATATCTCCTGCATTTTTTCTGCATTTATACTGCATGACATTCATACCCTTTGTAAGTTTCATCATCAATATAATCCTTTGAGAAACAAAACAAATATCTAATCAATAATTAAAAAACTACATACTGATTATTTATTTATTTAAATCCCAAAAAATTAAGAGCCAACGCAAACCAATCTAAAAAGCCACGTAAAGTTGTCACTTACCATACAAATAACAAAGCGAACAAAAGAGAAATTCACCAAGCAAATAAACTTACGTCGACGTGTAACCCACACTCCCACCCGATTGTGTCTTTCTTTACACAACCCTACATATTATACATATTATCAACACCGAATCTCAAACACAAACAAACACACAATATCTTCCTTTCAAAGAAAACTTTTGCTTCTCCCAAGAATCTGAATCTGCTTCACTTTTGTTCAACCATGATGAAGATCATCGACGATACGACATCTCCAATGGCCCACCCGGTGGATCCATCTCAACCTCCTTCCGACCAAACCCAACAAGAACCTAGTTCCCCCGACCAAGCTTCTTCTGTTTCGGACAAGAAAGATCAAGATTTGCCAGAAGAGAAACCTAAACGGAATCAAGAAGAAGAGAGAGTTGACACAGGGAGAGAGAAGCTAAAGAGGCACCGGAGAGACATCGCCGGAAGTGTTTGGATACCGGACATATGGGGACAAGAAGAGCTTCTTAAGGACTGGATCGACTGTTCAACGTTTGACACGTGCCTAGTCCCTGCCGGAATCTCGTCGGCACGTGCAGCTCTCGTAGAGGAAGCTAGGAGAGCTGCTTCAGCTTCTGGTGGGTTACATAATCGTTGCTTGATCTCACGCTGAATTTTTATATAATATCATAAATAAATGTGGTTCTTGTTCCTCCTCTATAATATATTATGTAAGATACTATTGTTATATTGTTGGTATAGAGACTCTTTCATTTTACTCATAATTATAGAGAACATTTTTTTTTTTTTGATAAAATTATAGAGAACATTGCCAATTGCTTTTAGTGTGTTTCGTTGCCTATATTGGTGGAGGTGGTAGTAAATAGCATATGTTATATGGTTTTGTATGATAACTGTGATACATTCCGTTACAGATCAACTTATCTATATAATTCGTATTCATTTCAGAACTAGACTGAATATCAAGTGAAAAGACATCCCATCTGCTACATAAAATTTATAAAACAACTAAACTCAAAATTATGCTAGGGAAAGCAAATCAAAATCAAGTTATTTATTTTATTTTAGTTTTATCTAGCTACAAACGCATGAGATTTCAGTTTTCAAAATTGAGTATTTGGAATACGGTTTGCTCTCTTTTCTTATTCTGCTTTTTATTATTTGCGTGGTGATTCATTTAAAGTATGTGTTTCAAACCTCCAAGACTTAATTTGAATCAGCAATTTGTCAAAAGATCAAATTCTGAATGTGACATTTGCCCATTTTGCCTCTTGTTTCATTTGCATGTGCTGAAACATACCCAATCTTGTTCCTAACTTCTTAAGTTCAATATTTAACATTTATCTTATTTTAATTCTGTCCTCTCTATGCGTCGTGATTTAGACATGTGACAAAATGACTAAAGAGACAACAGCGTACTAAGTGAGAAGAAATCATGTTTAGTTACTTAGGGATCAAGAAACGTGTCTATAGAACGTAAATGAGAATGTGTCTAGTTCTGAAAGATGTGTTCCAAAAAAAAAGCATTGCTGAAAAATCTTTCTGTATGATGAATGTCCGTCGTTCCACTGAATATATCAGGCTCTTTTACTACCAAATACAATTTTATTAACTAATAGTCTAAGGGTGAATTGGCTAAAAATATAAGAAGAATGTAGTAATTAAGAAAATGCCTAAAATTGTGGGGAAATATTAAAGATGGAGGGAAAAAAATTGGGGGGAAATTGAGTATGAAGTGCAAATATAGTAAATGTTGTAGGTATGGAGTACAAATATTCATAGTCTAATAGGATCAGCTCCTTGACCGAACCTAATTTTGTGCCTAGTATTCTAATAGATCTTTATAATAAAGCCAGTCTTCAACAGTGTTAATAAGATTTAAATGATTATGAGTAGTGAACAAACTACTTCATCCTGAGATTATCTGGGTTTAAGGCCTGAAATATTAATACCTAAATTATCAAACAATTTTAAGAAATCCCAAAATTGACAAATGCTTCTAAAACCTGATATAAGAGCACTTTTCACACTCTCTCTCTTCAAAATAAGTTACCCTCTTCTCCTAAACAACTCTCTAAGCAACCTCCATTAATGGTGTACTAAGAGTTTAAACAAAAGCAGTCCGTGGCAACAACCATTTATATTTCGAATTAACGAACTAATGGGCCGAAATACTGGGCTAAGCTATGAGGCCCATTTAGCCTTTCCAGATACGAAGGAGTCAAAGGTGGTAGAGAGATTCTTGAAAAATCACATCGGTCTTCCTTCACTCTCTCTCTCTCGCCTTTGTTTCGTTTTTTCTCCAATCCCAATCGAGAACTGATTAGATAAATCAATCATGGCACTTCTGGAGGGATTTTACAGAGTGATCATGCGCCGTAACTCCGTCTACGTCTCCTTCATCATCGCCGGCGCTTTCTTCGGCGAAAGGGTCAGAGATCCAAACCCTTTTTTTTCAATATAAGTTTTTAGCTTTCGGATCTGTTTTGGGTTTTGAACAAAATCTCAGATTTTTCTGTAAAGTTTCAATCTTTCGATGAATAATGAATAGATATAGCTGCTAGAGATTGGGAAAGTTCTTTGCTTTGGGGTCTTATTGTAATACTTTTATATATACAAAAGGGATCATTTTTTATATGAAATGTTTATGTGTGTGCAGGCTGTGGATTACGGTGTTCACAAGCTTTGGGAAAGCAAAAATGTTGGGGTATGTTCTGTTTCTTTGTTTTGTTTTTTTTTGTTTAATTCTATCTCTCTATTGTGTTGCTGGTTTCTGTTTCAATTCAATCCAATGACGAGTTTTTGATTGGTCGGTTGATGAAGAATGAGAATTACTTGTTCCCATTGTTTAACTTTCGTTTTCTCTGCATTTTAGTTTGAATGTGTTAATACTATAGACTCAGAAGATGCATCCTGTTGACAACTTTGTTTTTGAGCAGTATTGTTTGCTCTTGTCTCTTAAACTAGACCTAGGTGGTAGGTGTTTCTTCATCCTTTGTATTAGCAGCTTACTTTGTTATGGAATGTTTACACCTCTTTTGTTTCATATTTACCATCATAGTTTATAATTATCGACTACAACCTCTGCTTTGTTGTGTTTATTTTAGAGTATTAAATTAGCTGATTGATCCCTGGTTCGCCATTTTAAAGGTTAATTTAGATTTCTGATGTACTACCTCCGTTCCATAATATAAGATGTTTTAGAGAAATTTTGATGTTCCAAAATATAGGATGTTTTGATAGTTTTAAGGTACTTTAACTTTATTAAAAATTGATTGACCAATAAGATTTTACTGTATTATTTATGATTGGTTTATCCACCATAAATATCTATTATTATTTGGTAGAAAGTAAGTTTCTTGATTCTTGTGTTTTTGGTAAAACATCCTATATTATAGAACGGAGGTAGTATATAGTTTTTATCTCTTGGTTGGTAGTTTCACAATTAATTTCATGAACATTTATGTATTGACTAGTAATGAATAAACATTAATAACATGGTATTGTTGTCATGGTGCAGAAACGGTATGAAGACATCTCTGTGTTGGGTCAAAGGCCTATTGAAGAATGAGATTTTCTCCTTTGTTGTTGTTTTGCACTTGCGAAGTTTCTTTCTTCTTTTGTTAAATAAATATCATTGGAATGATGATTTCCATATACTTTCACCTAAAGCTGCTATTTGATTCTGATTAATTAAAAGTTGTTTTTCTGCAATAATTAATTAGAGAGTGCTTCTCTCAAAAGTACTCTTACTCCATTTCCTCTTGACTTCTTTAAAGAATAGCTAGAGGAGTCACTGTCGTCGATCATCGTTCTTGCATTTTGTATAATTAAGTGGGAATACCGACAAAATCACTTTGGTTCAATTTCGTGCTGAGATCTTTAAACTTAAAGCATCCCACTAAGGTGTGGGGCCAATATTAAAGATTAGATTTTGACCACCTCTTTATCACAAGTCATATAATTTGCGCACTACTTTCTAAAGGCATGCATCTACCCCCAAGAAAAAAAAACACATTCCTTATCAATCATCATAACCTTGCAACCTATATCGGTTTGTAATAATGCTATTAACATGTCATAATCCGGATTCATATCCGAAGTGAGCATATGTGAGTTGTTACACAACAAAACCATAGTGAACCAAGCATATCATTCCAATGTATAAAGAAAAGTTTCATATGTGCCAGACTAGCCTAAATCATACAGAAAAATAAAATAAAAAAAGAATATTGTCATGGACAGACAAACCAAGTGGAATTTAACTAGTTGCGGATTCGCATTATACGTTTTGTATTGTTGCGACAAGAGACCAGAGATCGGTGCTCGTGAAAATGTGATGTTCTCGGGGTTGGAGTATGGACAAATGAATATTTCCGAAGACATTTTGTCTTGATTCCGTTGAGTGATGCCCCTACCCGATCATCATCACATCACATGTTTCACTCTTTTTTTTTCTTTTTAAATAATCATCTTTTGTTTTAGCTCAATAAGCATATATGTAGTGGGAATAGTTTTATAATAAGGAGATGGGAATAGTGAAAATTCTCTTGATAAGAAGTGGGGGAAAAGAAAATTGGGAGGTGGGTTTTTATGAGGCAGGCACCATCTGTGGATTATACGTAAAGGTATCATGCACACATTTAAAAAGATAATACAATCATTTATTTTTAAAAATGTAAGATTGACAACTTTGTAAAATATTAAACCTGAAAGCAAAATAGTCTAATCTCTAGGTCATTACAAAAGAAAAGAAGCTTTTTTTTAATGTTTGAAAATTTCCACTAATTATTTTTGCATCCGATACAATTATTAATAATGTTACCGTGGAAGTTTTTAAACAAATACAAAAGTGTCTTTTCTTTAAACCATAGGATGTAAAACATATTACTAAACGCATTACGCATACTATATGCTTATAACTCCTCAACCCGAATGTCTTTAACGAATATATAACCACATAAATTTGCTTGGACAACATTTTTTTTTGTTTTTAGGTATTTCCTTATCTTTTTGAATTTTATTTCTTTTCTTTTTTTTGATCAAATAATTTTATTTCTTTATAGCTTTTTAGAAGTAAAAAAACAAATGTTTAAAGCAGGACTGCTTTGAAAAGAGGTCTATAAATAGCAGAGCCAGCTCGGTTCGTGTCAGCCATGAAAGCTAACACAACATTTTGTTATCTCCACAGGTTTAACTTTTAAAACTCATTAACCAGTTTACAGATTTGGAACATCAGTCCTCTTCTGAATCTATTAATGCAGACCCTTTTCCTCCCGTTTCTAACAGATTCCAACAAAACAGGAAGTGAACGAACATATACAAATCAAAAAGAAGATGGTGATGCTGATCTTTAAGCTATGCCTCTTAGCCATGGCTCCCCTCTGCACTGTCGCTGCAAATGCTCGTAATGCTAACATTCTTTTTTTTCTTCTCTCACTCAGTCTATATACATATATAATTCATAATCATTAGTATATAATGATATTTACGTTTTATATACATATAGTATGATTATGCATGCACATGTATAACTGTATAAGCTTATTTACTACGGGTAAAATAATTTAGAATTTTCAACATAGTTATATGGGTTTTAAATTTTGAGTTAGGATTAGGTAGATACTATGTGTTATGCTTAAAAAAAAAATATAAGACAATCAATTGATCATAAAACTGTAAAAAATAATCTTTAAGAGGCTTCATCCTCAAAAGCATTAGCTATTGCCTTAGTTACTTGAAGTAGTGAATATAACTTCTTAACACTACAAAGATTGGTGATTTATGAGCAGAGACACAAGGAATAGGGTTTGGATATGGAGGTAGAAATGGACCAGGCCAATGGGGACACTTAAACCCTCACTTCACTGAATGCTCGGTCGGTAAATTACAATCTCCAATTGATATCCAAAGGACACAAACCTTTTACAACAGCTCATTAGAACCGCTTCACCGCGATTACTACACCACAAATGCAACGCTCGTGAACCACGTCTGCAATGTGGCCATGTTCTTCGCAGAAGGAGCAGGAGATGTGGTGATAAACAATAAGAACTATACCTTATTGCAAATGCATTGGCACACTCCTTCTGAACATCATCTCCATGGTGTCCAGTAAGCCTTAAATCTTTTTTCATTATTCTTGTTATTATTATATTATTTTTTTATATAATCATTAAACACTTTATAATGGTCTGTGACACATAAAACAACCCACTCCTTTTTGTTTGATTATTTTCAGAATTAGCTAGATTAGACTTCAGATGATCTAGTTTTATATGCCAACTTGTCACTCAACCTTCCTGACATGTCCGAAATTATGTGTGATAAAAGAATCCCAGATTCAATCTTAGCCCATAGACTAAATGTTTCTTGTGAATTAGCATGGCCCGTGAGGCCCATGTGTACTGTGTCTTACTTATTTTTTGTCACACCGTTTTTGGAGTTTTGCTATCTTTTTGTTTGTTAATTTAGAAATGGTGTTTAAGAAAACTATTAAATAAAAGGGACTATAACGTAGATATGCAGCTGAGCTACACATGGTACACCAAGCAAAAGATGGGAGCTTTGCTGTGGTAGCAAGCCTCTTCAAAATCGGCAGTGAAGAGCCTTTCCTCTCTCAGGTATATTTTTTGAGGTATATGTTTATTATATATATATTGGCTTTCTTACAGGTATGGTGTTAATAATAATACAAGTTAAATCATATGATTAGATGAAGGATAAATTGGTAAAGCTAAAGGAGGAGAGGCTCAAAGGGAACCAAACAGCACAAGTGGAAGTAGGAAAAATAAACACAAGACATATCGAACGTAAGACTCGAAAGTACTTCAGATACTTTGGTTCACTCACCACTCCTCCTTGTTCCGAAAACGTATCTTGGACCATTCTTGGCAAGGTAATCTTTTGGGCACGTACATTATTGTGATTATGAGTTTTTTCGGGTTAAAAAGGTTTTAAAATTATATTCGTTTGGTTGGTAGTATTTTAGTGTGTGACGACAAGGTAGTTACCAAAACAAAATTTCTGATTATGCATAAAGTTGGTTTCATTTAAACTAATAATTCAGGATGAAAACCTAATTTTGTTCTAAAACTACACTTTATTTGAAGGATTTTTGGTGAGAATATAATAATCTACTTTTCAAAAGCTCCCTATTTATTTTTGTTTTATTTGTTTTTAATATATATATTATATTTGTTAGACCTCTAAACGAATCAAGACTACCGATTATCATAAATATAAATAATTTAGTATACATAGAAAATGAATCTAGTGGTCACAAGAATTTTAGACCCTATTATAGTATACGTAAGGATTCCAAGTTTCAATTCTCATCCAAAATCATCTATATAGTATTGACGATATCTAAGCGGTTCGAGTGTCTAGTGGGTTCCACAGTCCATGCTTTTATGTGGGACAAGTCCCTGCTTTTATGTGTTTATGTCAAACTTATTATATACGTTAGAACGAAATAGAGAACTTCAACTACTTTCATGTTCATTTGACATTTTGTATGGAAATGGCCCAAAGTAACGTGACATCTTTATTTATAATTACCGTGTATAAACTAAATGCAGGTGAGATCAATGTCAAAGGAACAAGTAGAACTACTAAGATCTCCATTGGACATTTCTTACAAGAAAAATGCAAGACCTTGTCAACCCCTAAACGGCCGGCGAGTTGAGATGTTCCACGAACGCGTCACCAAAAAGGAAGCAGGAAACAAAAAGAAAAAACCCAATTAAATTATATTTTGCACATTGATTCAGAACCTAATTGTGTAAAACCGTAATGAAAAAAATAATCGTATGTGGTACTACTACGCTGCTGTTAACTGTACTTGATCTTCGATTTCCAAATTTGATAATGTGGTGTTGAGATCTCTCTGCGTTGAAAATAACGTGCATCAACTAATATCTCGTTTAGTAATGAGTTAGATAGTATGTCGCACCTAATTATTTGAATCCACATTTTCTATTTTTATTGATAACTACATTTACGTACATAAATACCCACAGTGTTAAACACGTTTTGACTTGAAAATGTCAAGGCACCAATCCTAGTTAATCAACTGACCAGTTTAGTTATCCAAGCAAAGTTGATCTGTATTGATTGCAATGTATTCATCTGGTTAACCATTGATGGTTTGGCACACACTAGAATGTACAGCTCTCCACCCTCATGTTCATGCCGTCCTTTCTAAATTCTCTTTCAAACGTTGCATCAGATTGCAGAAAATATTTTTTGTTGTTGAATATAATTTAAATAAAAAAATTTAGACATGTCTAGCTAGAATCATATGATGTGGCTATATATTTTCGAGCAATACATTAAACATATCTCTAATGTTTTATAGAAAATTATGTGTAGATATAAATATATCTTGTGAGCTGATACATTTGGAAATTTTTTAGCATTATTCTTTTATATTGGAAAAGAAATAAGCATATTAATTATTGCAACTAGATCAGAAATCTGATGGAGAGAAAAAAATGTAATAGATGGTTGTTTCATTATTGGTTAGAAATAATTGTTGCTAGGAAAAAAATTGAAATGGAGATCGAAAGTGAGGCAAATTTATTGTCATTGTCTTTCCTGCTAACTCCAAACAAACAACAATTCTCGTAACTAGAATTAAAACTATATTTATATAAGAGGATGAACAGCGATATGTTATCAAAATTGGTGGATCTCTCTTATTTGCAGCCAAACATTTTTCCTCGAGACACTCCCTTTTTCATAAGTCTCACTGGACTTAAACTTCGCGGTCTTAGTTGTTAAAATAGATTTCTATGCTAAAGAAGTTATAGATGTCATAGTTCAAGCATTTAATTGGTTATTGAAAGCTGTCAAAACTACTCTGTTTCAACATATTTGCCAGTCAAAGTCTTCGAGTATGGAACCATTCTCACGTCGGTCTCAAATTGAAATGCCAATTTGTCACCCTTAAAGAAATTTAGTAAAAACAGATGTGAAGAGAAAGAAGCTTTGCTTTACTGAAATTGCATTTCATTCATCTTGGTTCTCAAGAGTTACAAGACAAGCTTATTTATAGTCTTTACACATAAAACCCTAATAGAGAAAACCCTAGACTGATGAGTTAATCTCAGTCGTTCAAAAGATCAAGGGTGGAGAATTTGTTGTACAACTTCACGCCATTACCACCTCTGTTTTCTTGCGTCATCTTCTGTACTTTTCTTTTGACCTCTTCCTTCTCTTTTGAATTTAAACGTTGTTTTCCGGTTTCTTCTCTTGGGCTTTTCTCTCCTCGTTTGGGCCTTTGTTCCTCTTGACCCATAGCCTTACTACTCTTCAACGGAAACGACGCGTTTTGTTCAATAGTCCCCCTCAAACTTGGCGTTGGTGGCAAGGAAATGCCAAGTTTGAATCTCAGATCATCAAAAGCCGCGTATGGCAAGGATTTCGTGAATATATCTGCGAGTTGGAGGTATGCAGGTACATGTCGAACAATCAAAGCTCCGAGAGCAACTCTCTCTCGAACGTAGTGATAATCTAGCTCAAAGTGTTTTGATCTTTTGTGATAAGTAGGATTCGCTGTGAGATGCACCGAGGATAGGTTATAACAGTATAGCTCAGGTGTCACTAACACGGGAACACCAATTTCACGCATTACCGAACAGATATAGCTAAGCTCAGATGCAGTTTCAGACAAGGATCGATACTCTGCCTCAGTGGAGCTTCTCGAGACAGTCGGTTGCTTCATGGAGGACCAGGAGATTATGTTACTTCCGAGAAACGTGCAGAACCCACCAGTTGATCTTCGTGTATGAGGACATCCTGCCCAATCACTGTCACTATAGGCTCGCAGTGTAAAATCAGTGTCTTGAGTGAAGTTAATCCCATAGCTCACTGTCCCTTTGATGTATCGCATGATACGTTTCAGCATACGGTAATCTGAGACAGATGGAGCATGCATTTTCTGAAAAATGTAGTTGACTGAAAACTGCAGGTCCGGTCTTGTCAAAGTAAGATATTGTAGCTTCCCAGCCAAGCTTCTGAAGTAGCTTGGATTTGCGAACAAAGTGTCTTGATCTGGAACTTTGTTCAGCTTGATCGGAAGGGGTGTGCTTATTTCTGTGCTCTCACTCATTCCTGCAGCAGCCAACATATCAAGAGCATATCTTTCTTGTGGAAGAAACATACCAGACTCATGAAATTTGGCTTGAATTCCCAGAAAATACTCCATCTGGCCAAGATCTTTCATTCTGAATTGATCACTGATATCTTTAAGAAACTTCTTTTGAATCTCTGAAGCATTTCCGGTAATCAACATGTCGTCCACATATAGAAGCAACATTATAACATCCTTACCCTTCGAATATATGAATAGAGATGGGTCTTTCACACTGCATTTGAAACCAAACTCCATCAAGAACGAGCTAAATTTGTCAAACCATGCTCGTGGGCTCTGCTTTAGACCATAGAGAGATCTATGTAGAAGGCACACGTGATCTGGTTTCGTCGGATCTACAAACCCTGCAGGTTGCCGCATATACACCTTCTCAGTCAAGTCATCGTGCAGGAACACATTTGCTACATCCATTTGTTTTCTTTCCCACTTCATAACCGTAGCCGTGTGTAGAATCAGTCTCACTGTTGCAGTCCTTACTACTGGACTGTATGTCTCCCAGTAGTCCACACCTTCTTCTTGACCACAACCTTGAGCTACCAGTCTTGATCTTAGCTTCATAATTGCTCCATCTGAACCCAGCTTGATTCTGTGTATCCATTTGTTTCCCAAGACGTGCATTGACTGAGTTCTGGGAACAAGAGACCAGGTCTTTGTTTCTACACAGTTGTCATATTCTTCATGCATTGATGCTTTCCAGCCGGGATGAGCTAGTGCTTCTTTGACGGTTTCTGGTTCTCTGAGGACAGTTTTCTCGGTCATAAGCACATACCTTGGATTAGGTTTGACTATTCCAGACTTTGATCTAGTTACCATTCCATGTTGGTTAGTGTTGGAGATTGCTTCTGTGGTTCCTTCTGCATTTTCAGTCTGATTTCCCTCTCTTGTCGATGCTTCTTCAGTAGTTGATTGCAGTGTTAAGCTGCTATCTTGACTGACATCACTCTGTTGATTCAGTTTCTGCAGTTTTAGGACCATTTGAAGCGGTGAGTCACTCCTCTCAGTATCATCTTGATCAGACCTTTCAGACACTGGTGAGGTTGGTGAATTTTGGCCTTCAGAGATTCTTGGAGGAAGACTCTTGAGCCACGATGACATAAGTGTTGTCTTTGCTTGTGGGAGAAGGTGTCTATACTCTTGTGAAAAGGGGAACCTCTGTTCATCGAAAGTCACGTGCCTGCTTATGTACACTCTCCCTGTGGATGGTAGCAAGCATCTATATCCTTTGAATTTCTCACTGTATCCCATGAATACGCATCTCAGAGAACGAGGATCAAACTTATTTGCCGCGTAGTCCCTCAGAGTTGGGAAGCAAGCACATCCGAACACTTTTAGAAACTCATATTGTGGTCTTCTGTTGTGAAGAATCTCATACGGACTTTTGTCTTCTCTTACTGCTCTGTGCGGTAGCAGATTACTCAGGTAGTTTGCTGTGAAAAACGCTTCAACCCAATACTTGTGAGGAACGCAACTCTGAAACAGAAGAGACAATCCAACCTCAGTGATTTGTCTGTGTTTTCGCTCTGCCATCCCGTTTTGTTGTGGGGTATATGGGCATGAGATTAACTGTTTAATGCCATTGTTTTGCAGATGTTGTAGAAATTGTGTACTAGTGAATTCTCCTCCACCATCACATTGGAATGATCCAATCTTAGTACAATATTGATTCTGAACGAGTTCTTGAAAAGCAACAAACACAGACATGAAATCTGACTTCTTCTTTAAAGGATACAGCCAACTGTATCTAGAGAAATTGTCTACAAGAATTACATAATAATGAAATCCCTGAACTGAAGCTACTGGTGATGGTCCCCATAGGTCACAATGAATCCGTTCCAGTGGCCGAGTAGCAACATAAGAAGATGCCTTAAAGGGCAGTCTTGTGCTCTTTCCCAGCTTGCACGCAACACACTGTGTCTTGGTGGCCTTATTGATCGAAATACGCCTAGAAGATGATAAGTGTTGTAGGATAAGAGGGTTGGGGTGTCCGAGCCTTTGATGCCATACTTCATCACTAGCAGCAACTCTCCTGGTTGTGAAGAAAGCATGAACCGCCGGATCCCTCAGCTTGTACAACCCATTAGTGTTTCTTCCCACTAGAAGAACCCTCTTGGTTCCCTTCTCATATATACGCACGTTATCACAATCAAAATCAAAATCACATGGATAGTCCTTGGTAAACTTTGATACTGACAACAAAGATTTAGCAATGTTAGGACATACAAGAACATCTTTTAAAGGTAAGTTACCTGAGGAAGATGCAATGCTAGAAGATCCAGTGTGAGTTATTGGAAGAAACTCTCCGTTCCCCACCATGACAGAGTCAGCACCATGGTAAGGATGAGCCTGCTGTAAATGAGCCGGTGAGTTGGTGACATGAGCAGATGCTCCAGTGTCAGGAAACCAGTCATGTCCAGCTCCATCTGTGATTTCTGATATGCGGAGAGCAGCCAGAGCATTGTGCAGTTCGTCATGTTGGTATGAGTTGTCAAATCTGTGCCAGCACTTCACAGCGATATGACCTGTCTTTCCACAGATTTGACACACTGGCCTTGCATCACCATCAGACGAGACAGAAGACCTTGATGACGAAGAGGATGATATGTGTTGTGGAAACCTCCTTCCTCTGGTTGAAAAGAAGTCTCTTCCACCACGACCTCTTCCTCTGTTCTTGGTAAAGAAAGGTCTTCCTCTGGAGGCTTGGAACGCCAGATGTGGAGTTACCCCAGTATCCACCTGTATATTACATCATATCAATATAAACATTGAACCTGGACGCGCTGATAAACACTAAAAATCCTCGACGCGCTGATAAACACTAAAAATCTTCACCAACGAATTTTAACAACAAAGACGCACGAGGCCAAAAGTCTGTAACGACAAGAAATTGTGATCGCTGCTAAACTCCCTGGACACTTTATTTAGAAGTACAGTTTCAAAATAAGGATTAGGAATACTACAAGTAATTCGCTGAATGCTAAATATGTAAAAGCTATTCTATATCATTTATTTGAAATTTAGAACTAACAATACATTTGAAGAAAACCACAAAAGGCAGCTAAAAATAAAAGAATTGCTAACACAGGATGATGACTATTAGCATATCATAAGCCTCTCTCCGGGAAATGAACAAAAACTTACAAGTATCAAACCTCATATTAATTGCAAAATACACCATTATGTAGGCAAGACCAATAATAAAATGCCAATTCGAAGGACTGACTTTTCCAAATTAATTTTTGTTGTCTATATTATAGAATCAAAGATGGCTAAGATACATCTCTTAAAAAAAGGATTGCTAAGAATGTCCTGTCTTTTCTTGAAAAGGAAACAAATAATGCGATTAATTTGACTTAACTCGTCTCTTTGCCAGGACCTGAACACGTCAAATTTTTAAAAAATGTTTATGGCTCCCAGTCTCCCATTATTCACTTTCATTGTTTTGAATATGTTTTTTCAGGGATTATAACACACTATTTAATTGACTTCATTTTAGGACAAGCTCATTCGTAAAAATCAGACTATTGACCCGTTACTCATTTAATTATTTTTTAGATTATTGATCAATTCTACAAGAAAACACATATACACAAATAAATAATAACACCTATGTACAACCCAAAGTCCAAGAGAAAAAGCAAAACTAATCAAAAGTCTTAAGAAGAGAAAAAAGGGCACACAATAATATTACTATGATATACAAAACGGTGGAAGTTAGGTTTGAACGCGAGAAAGTGTGCGCGTGTTCTCTTCCTACGCCGTGTTCCTTACTCCGCTAAACCGGTGGCCACGTCAGCGCCATCGACTTTCCTAATAACACACGCTTATGGGCCCCATAAAAGCCCATGAACAGCCAACCAATCACCATCTTTGTTTACTCCGTAAGCTTAAAACACAGGGGCCCACCAATTCTCACCTATCCACATTGTAAACGCCGCACGTCACGCCACGTCAAACTTCTACAAACAAATCCGGTCTTCTCCCCGATTTAAACCGCGTCACCCCTCCTAAACCGGGTAATACCGGTTCCTCACCGTCTACAGATCTCCTCGGACCGGTACTCATCCTCGGCGGAGAAGATCCTCCGACAACTTCCGGCGGAAGCCGTTCTCTAATATCTCTCGACCTTCTCGCCGCAACGGCCACCTCCTTCTCTGGCGCGTGGACGCCACTCGCGGATATGTTTTTGCAACCGCCACCGGTTATGAATAACGCTCTAAACGTCGATAAAAACCCGGGTTTCTTAACCGGAACCGGTTTATCCTTTAATGAATCGGTTCGACCGGATTTCTGTCTATTCATTCGACGGCTACGATCACAACGTTTCGACCTCACTCTCCCAATGCAAGACACCTTCGGAGAAGAAGGCTCCGACTTCAACCTCGACCCGATCCGTTTCGGGATCATAAGCGTCCTCGCGATTCTGCAGTTTCTCCGTTTCGTCACTTCGTTGAAACACGTCTTCTGCGGCTTCGGTAATCTGATCATCGAGGTTTTGGAGTTGAGAGAGATTCTCTGAGAGCTCGAGTTAGGGTTTGGATTGTGATTCTGAGTGGAAGGTTGGATTCCTTTCTGTGATCCTTTACGCTCGAAGAAGGCGTTCTCGTTGAACCACTCGAGCTGTTCTTCTTTGGATATGGAGTAAGATTCCGGTGGAAAATCGACGGAGATTGAAACGGGTCGGATCATCGGGTCGTTGGATGAGTTGTTGTCGGAAAGGGGCATTTAAGCGAAACAAAGACGGTGAGGAGAGTTTCGAAGGAAGAGAGGAGATAATACGAAATTAGGTTTCTTGTAATGAACCAGTGGCCTCTTTTATAGTATTTGCCGATTTATTTGATTTTCTATTTTTTAATGTTTATTTAATTTCTTTTTTAGATTATTATTATAGGTGGGTTGACTTTCACTCGCTAAGTCCGGGGTGTTTTCTTAATTGAAGTAATTAATTAGGATAATGCGGAAAATTTTCAAATTCCAAAATAAAGGAGTACTATATTTATGCTAATTCAAATTTAAAATAGTTGATTAGTTATTTACAACTTTTTCCACATTTTGTAGCTATATGTAGGGATATTTTCTTCCATCAAATATCTTATACAGTTCAATTGTTTACATTTCAATCTTTAGATGATTTAATATGGTTAGATACTTAAAGATAAGTAGTTAGAAGTATTATCATTGATTTTATGTTAATTTTTCAACAAAGCAGTCAAATTCATACGAATTTTGTATCATGCAGCAAAGCCATGATAATGATCTGATTTAGTTTTTCAAAAAAAAAAAATAATAATAAGTGTTCGGGAATTACCATTGTTATGCGATTCATATTGACATTTTAACTAAAAATCAATGATGAAGCACAAGTTCCAATATTAGCTAAAAACAAAAACCGAGACGGTATAAAGCTGACAAGATGATCGGCTAATAGTTTCAGGTTCTTCTGCCATTCCCAATGTGCATGCATGAGTTTCATTCACGACCACCACTTGACCAGGCCCAAAACTTGCTTCTCTAAACAAATGATATTTCTGGATTTGGAATTTGGTACCAATGATTTACTATAAAACGTACTTTTTTTTTTAAATGGGAAAATATTAAAGGTGTGACTGATATCACATCTAAAATTTATTCTATAACTTAATTGATTTAACCGGACTTCTAGCTCAGGTAGTAAAAGGTTTATGATTGTGAGTTTCGTCACCTGAATCCGAAACCTGGTCAATGGGGGATTTAACAGCAGATCCTCCAGTTCCCGAAACCGAAGACCGTTATAGGTGAACCACATGGTGACACTCTGACAGTGTTTTTACTCGCTTCGGTCTCTAATATAAACCACTTCCGTGGGATTATGATACCCGGTTAGCAAAAAAAAAAAACTTAATTGACTCCACATTGCAGTGAAAATTTATCAATCAAAAGAACATAACTTTTTTATTTTCTCTAGCTATTATTTAAAAAGAGAAAAGCACACATTCAATATTATTTAAAGATGCAAATAGAACTGCGTCTTGGTTGAGGCAAGCAAGTTTATGTTAGACTAGTCCATGAAACTCCATAGATAGCAGCTATGATTACATCTTTCATCTTGTTATACAATGAGTATCTAATTGAATACTGGCAAATTTGGACAGCAAGAAATTACCTCATCTTCAAAAGCAGAGATTCTCAACCTGCTAACATTCTCTCAAATTCCATCAGAAATGCTAGAGAATAGACCTCTGCTCAACTTTCTATTCCACCTTCTCCGTAGGGACACCAACAAAATGTGAGTTCTGTCTCAAACTCAACTAGTATAAGCTGCTTCACGGATGCGGCTTGACAGGCTACGACCAACAGAACTGGTATTGGTTGGGTTTTCGTTGATGCTCAACAGGAACGTTTACTACAGGGGTCTGCGACCTTACATCATATCTCCTCGCCATTGGTAGCTGAAGCTTTAGCAATATGAGCTGCCCTCCTCAACGCCCTTGATGCGGGCTTTACAAGAATCTGCTTTAAATCAGATTGTCAAGCACTTGTTGCTTTTATCTCCTCGAAGTGCCACCCGACGGATCTCTACGGAATCACACGGGACATCGAGCAACTATCACTTTCCTTTGATTGTATCTCCTTTATCTTTGTTTCCAGAAACTTAAATTGTATCGCTGATTCTATTGCTAAGTCAGCCCTGTACTCGTCTACAGCCAACTAATTCTAGTTGGACTGCTTTTTAATATATTGGGTGTTCAAAAAAAAAAACAAAAAACTACAGATGTTAAACACACAAAAATTCTATAAAACTTGACCCAAAACTCGAATGAGTATCCCACCGTCAATTATTTGAGATTTGACATGAGTTAAGTAAATGTTGAATACCGAGTATCTTGACCGTGTAGAGTAGACATGAAATCAGTGTAGCAATATTTTCTCTTTTAGTTGAGAGATATCCAGAACCAAATGTACGAGACTTTATGGATTTTGCTTTTTTCAAGTGGAAAATTAAGGCTTGCGGAATTTCGTAAAAGCTGTCTAGAGGTATAGTTGAAGGTCAAATTAACCGTGTCTTGACATATAAAAATATGTAGTTGTTTTTTTTTGGTAGTTAGAGGTTCAAGTATTTCACTTTGACCTCTTTGTATTATTTGTTTATAGAATTTGTTTCGGTATATATATCTCAGCTATAGTAAAATATCTATTTGACAAAAATAAGTCTAATACATATAAGATCATTCGAATCCAGATAGAAACTGACATGAATTTGAAACCAGCTCCTTGAGAATCTGAAGTCTCTCTTCCAACTCGTTGAACTCTGCAAATGCTCTATCAATGGAGAAAGCTGCCTTCTTCAACCGTATTGCATTCTTAAGAATGTAAGTATCTACTTCTTTCTGTTCTTCACTTGTTATGTCGTATCTTTTCCACACAAATGTCTTGAGTTGGAACAACAAACATTCAGGAACATTCTCTGGTTTGCTCCATTCGTTGCTGAAAACACTTAGTCCAATAAAATATTTGAACACTTGGCTTTGAGGCAATAACTAGACAAAGAGGGAATGCAATGTATATTACTATCATACCTGCTCAACCAACCGCAAAGAGAGACTAGCATAATGATTTAATATCTTACATCAATGATCTTGAGGACTTGTAGTTTAGGAGAGCTATCGAGCAAGAGGGTAAGTAGATTCCACCACGTCACATGAAGTGTGTGAACCTCTAGATATACCAGTTGATAGAAGATAATACCAGTAGGACGCTTAATCTACGCAAAAATATCATATTATTATAAGCATAGTGATAACAAGTAGTTCACTTGCAATAAGATAAGTTACCTCTAGGCGTGATAAGTGTAAGGAAAGACGTTTGGCTGGCTTGAGAGATCTCAGAAACGTCTCGTTGACTATTTTAGAAACGCTTCTAAATTTCGCCTCAACTAGCTCTGGTGAATTCTCAATCAGACAAAACTCACATTCTACTAACATTTCAATGTTCAAGTATTTCAAAGAAGGAGCGTTTATCACATATCCACAATCATTTCTTTCTCTAGTGAGATCGTGAATGGTTAGTCTCTTCAAAGATGGAGCGACAATAATGAAATTGTTTACACTTTTAATGTAACTTCGATGTACTAACAAATCTTCAAGACTAGGACAGCCAGATAGAAGGTTGCGAACTGATTGATCGTCTTTGTACGTCACAAATTGAAGGTGGAGAGTTTTAAGTGACTTCATAGAAACCGGAGAAGGAACATCAATATGGATTGAGTTCTTGAGTATCAAGGTTTCAAGTGAAGGAGAGCAAAACATGCTACTCGGAGAAGTTAGGTGAAACTTCAAGTCAATTTCTAGCTTACGCACATGGCGTGCAAATGCAATCCCAAGCCATATTCCAATATTTCCAATACATGCTTCTTTATTTAGCCTCAGACTCAAACTCTCTAGAATTGGAGCTTTATGTGAAAGCAAAGCCTTAGTAATATTCTCTGCAAATTTATTATTAGGAGATACAAACATGAGTTTTGGCACCGTCGTTGTTAGTGACAACAATTTAACCTAGCTATGATCAGCCAATTTGAAAAAGTATAACATTATATAGTACCTAGTTTTATAGTTGCTGATATCCGGGGTTTTTAAGAGGAAAAAATAATTTATCTGACGGCTCTTATTTCTTGAACCGTGAAGATGATGATGATGTCATCCTTATTTGTTATTGTAAAACGAATCTATTATTAGATTTAAGATTACAATCAAATTAAAATTCGAGGTTCAGGTTGTTATCCTACTAGATTTTGAACCCGCAGATTCGTGCGGGTAATCTTTCATTTTCTAAATATAAAAATTTAATATATGTTAATAATTTTGTTTTCTGTAAAATTTATTACATAATTTACAAATTTTTAATCTTCTTAAAAAGTAAATAATATTTTATTCACTTAAATAGTGAATGATATTTTATTTATTTATTTAAATATTTTTTTTAAAAAATATATTAGCTTACCAATTTAATATATTTTTTATATGTAATTCATTTCTTATTTGTATTTTCATATAATATATACTAAACTTATAAAATTTATAAAATTGGAATATAGTATATTATAATTTTCTAATAAAATTTTAATTAAGATTAATTTATAATAATATTATACTAGTAATTACGAAATTAATCAGTGCATTAATTAAAAACTATTTATTTTTTTGTAAAAAATTTATTAGATTTTTTCTCAACAGATTTTTTGAATACTAAAACTAAAATTTTAAATTACAGCTAAAATAGATTTGTTATTAATATCTTTATAATTAGTTAAAAATATTATACATTATATAAACTAATGTAAATAATCAAAACAATGTAACTGAATATATAAACCTAGTATGACTATTTTATAGTATATAAAAATGGTACTTCTCTTTTAATAGAGAAGAGTAGATTTTGATCCGCGTTTTCAAAGCGCGGATTTATGTTTGATACAAACCTTATATAATCGCATTTTCTATACATGTAGAAATGTGGGATAAACTTGTTTAGTTCTTTAATTTCATCAAACATAGTCTTTTTAAAAATGCAGGATAATCTTTCGGTGAAAATTTTATATGACCGTATTTTTGTTTTATAAAAAGTAGACATGTGCATAAAATCCATAACTCGACGTCTAAACTCAATCTAAGCAAAAAAAATTGGATCCGTAACCAGTCAAAAATCTAAAGTATATCATAATGAGTTTTGTAGGGTGGTACAAAATATATCCAAATCAAAGTGTTATTAGTCAGACCCAAAATAATAACCCAAAAACCAAAAAATCTAGAAAAAAATCTGAGTCGATTTGAATGTCCAAATTAATCATAAATATAAATATTTGAAACATAAATATCTAGTTTAAAATGATATTTAAAATTAATTATCTATATTTATTTAAAATGATATTTAAAATTAATTATCTAACTTTTAACTAAGTACTTTAATATCCATTTCTATAAAAATAGCTATGTTTTTTTTTTTTTGGTTTTAGATTTTAGATTGCCAAACCAATATAACCCAAATCCGAACGATATATGGTTACTTTATCGGTTTTAGGATGTGTACAAATTATAACCAAACCTGACGTGTTATATTTGAATCTGATCCATACTTACAAACATGCCTACTTACATATTATGACACTTATGATGTGATATAAATTAGCTTTGATTCAAAATATTTGATCTGTATCCCAATAAGTACTTGAACTCCCAAGCATAACTTATATTATGTTTTATATTTTTTTAATTAAATTAATGTTTGATAAAAAAATTGTCTGTTTATTGGAATAACCCGTAAAATTATAATCATAAATATATCAGTAATACATGTTTCATCATATAATTAAATATTAATAGTAGCTATTATTAATATTCATTTTATAAAAAAATTATATATATATATAAACGTTTTTAAGACTTTATCTATGATAATTATATTATTATGTATTGGTGGAGGTTTGAATTTTTTTTTTATTATTTTATGTATCATTTACATATAATTAAATGTTATTTTTTTTATATCCTAATGTTTTAATTTAGATATGTATTAAAATATAAAATTATTTCATTTTTAATATTTTATGTTAGTATTTTGTTATTCTGTAAATGTAATTTATCTAGTATTTTTAAAAATGCAGTATAATCTTTCAGTAAAAATTCTATATGACCACATTTTTGTTTTATATAAAGTTGACATGTGCATAAAATTCATAACTCGGCGTTTAAACTCAATCTAAACAAAAACATTTGGATCCGTAACGGTCAAAAATCTAAAATATATGAGAATGAGTTTTGTAAAGTGGTACAAATATATTCGAATCAAAGTGTTATTAGCCAGACCCAACGAATAACCAACAAAACGAAAAACCTAGAAAAAATATGAATCGATCTGAATGTCCAAGTTAATCATAAATATAGATATTTGAAACATAAATATCTAATTTAAATATCCAGTTCTATATTTATTTTAAAATGATATTTAAAATTAATTATCTAAATTTTAAATAAGTACCTTAATATCCAATTCTATAAAAATAAATATTGTTTTTTTGTTTTGGTTTTAGATTTTAGATTTCCAAACCAATATATCCCGAATCCGAACGATATATGGTTATTTTATCGGTTTTAGGATGTGTACAATCCATACTTTCAAACATGCATACTTACAAATTATGACATCCATGATGTGATATAAATTAGCTTTGATTCAAAATATCCGACCCATATTTCAATAGGTACTTGAAATCCTAAGCATAACTTAAACTATGTTTTACAGTTGTTAAATTAATTCTATTTTTGTTAACTATTTTTTCTGTTTGGAACTACCTGTAAAATTATAATCATAAAAATATCAATAATAACATGTTTTGTCATGTAATTGAATATTAATAATAGCTATTATTAATATTTATTTTATATATATATATATATATATATAAACAATTTTAATACTTTATCTAGGATAATTATATTTTTATGTATTGGCGGAAGTTTGAAGAATTTGTTTATTATTATTTTGTGTATCAGTTACATATAATTAAATATTCTATTTTTTATATTCTAATTTTTTAATTTAGATATGTATATTAAAATATAAATTATTTCTTTCTTAAGTATCTTATGGTAGTATTTTGTTATTCTGTAAATGTAATTCATTTAGTTTGTAATTTTTAAAGTAGATTAATTTATATTATAATTATAATTTTGTGTAGTTTTTAATTACAAATATGAAATATTTATATGTAAATCTTATAGAAAGTTATTTCTTATTCTATAAATCAAAATGAATTAATATTGATTTGTAATTTAATATAATATTATTTTAGGCTTTTTATTATTAAAATTATATTAAAACAAAAAATATTTCTTTTTAAAATAAAAAATATGTTAAAGATATTATTAAAATTTAATCTGAAAAGTAGTTAAAAGTATCTTTTTGATATCTTATTTTGAATATATTTAAATATTATATTAATATTATGTGTTTATTTAATAATAACTAAATTTATTGTATGTAACATAACATAAAATTAAATAAATGTAATGTTTTGAGGTAGACTACTTGCAAGTAGATAAAAAGTGTTTCTGTTTTAATAGTATTGATTAAGACTAGGTGGTTGCAAGAGATTTCACATATATTTTATGAAAAGTAAATATTATTTTATCATCGAAATAAATTATATTTAGTTTTATAATTAAAAGTACATTTTATTTTTTTTTATTTCTTGAAATAAATAAATTTTATTATTTATTTTTTCAAAAATAAACATAATTATCTAAATATTTTAGTCGAGTCATCCGTTTTTAATCAAATCTAAGTTGACAAATGTGTTTCTATGTTTGTTAGATAGACTCTCGGATTGTCATTCTTGTTCGATGCATTTTGTGGTCCCCTTTGCATGATGTGGTTACTAATATAAAGTAGCTACGAAGGTTAGCAATGGATTCATCGTCTTGGTATTAATTTTTTTTCCAACATATTAGGGATTTTTCATTCACACCGACTACTAAACTAAGCCATGATCATACATAAATAATTGGAGAAAAAAAATAAAAAACATCTATATTATTAAAACTAAGTACATTTGAGAGTTGTTTGGAAACAATGATAACATTTAATAAAAAATATATTGTTGTTTGACAAGCAGTATATTAAAAATAAATTGGGCTTAGATATTTAGAAAAATTGAAAGTCTTATGATAAATTATCTATTTGGACCAGCTTTACAATATATGCAAATGGACCAATCTAATTACCAAAAACATATTTTTTTAAAAATAATCATAATACACAATTTAAAATTTATATACATATTTCAAATCAAAAGAATAATTTAAAACTAATTTATAGCAAAATTTGATTCTAATATATATATATATTCAAAATTTTACTTGTACTAAAATATTTTTCAATAGCGATTATAAAAAAGTTTTCAATATATATATAAAAAAATATAATACAAAGTCCAATTTCAAACACCAATTTATATTGGTTTTTATATTTCACATTGAAATTTTAAAATATAATTTATATGTCTATTTATATTAAGGTTGTGAATTTGATTCTTTACACATGGGTTTTGTCCTGTTTGACTCACTGCAGGGTGGGTATTTTTTTATGCAGAACGGATGTGGATCATTCGAATTTACACTACATATACCTGTCAATCCACAAAATATTTTTTTAAAAAGACATTTTTTAAAATGATTTTAATTTTTAAAATTATTAAAAATTACAAATATAAAAAAGATAATTAAAGTATATTATTTTAGTTTTTAAAAAATAAAAAAATAATTGTTTTTAATATTCTCTGTGGATCTCTTGGGTAATCTATAAATTTAAATGAAGTGGGTGCAAGTAGATCAAAGTTTTGAATAAAAAAATGATTCAACACGCAACAGGGTAGGTCGATCCGTAAATTCAACACTAATTTATATGATTATACATATAAAATACTATTAATTATATGATTATTCATATGATAATATATATAAAATATGATTTAATTATATAATGACATAAATATGATATATAATAATGATATAAAAAATAACAATAGATTTTTAAAAAACTACACACGTGCGGGCGCACGGGTCAAAATCTAGTCTATATTATTAAAACTGAAGTACATTTACGAGTTGTTTGGAAACATGGATAGCATTTAATAAAAAAAATATATTGTTGTTTGACAACATGACTTGCATTATATTCAAATAATAATAACGGGCTTATTTATTAAGAAAAAATGAAAATCTTTCGAGAAACTATCTATTTGGATCACCTTTAATATATGAAGATGAGCCAATCTAATTACTTAAATACATCTTTTGTTTAAAATAATCATAATACACAATTTAAACTTTATGGACATATTTCAAATCAAAAGAATAATTTAAAATTAATCCATATCAAGAATTCATTTTGAAATATACATATATTCAAAAAATGATTTGCTAAAATATTTTCCAATAGCAATTATAAAAATATTTTTTCAATAGATATAAGAAAAATACAATACAAAACTCAATTTCAAACACCAATTTAAATTGTGGATTTATATTTCATATTAAGTTTTTAAAATTATTATATATGTGATTATTTATATTAAACTTGTGAATTTGACTCTCTACCCATGGGTCCCACCATGTTTGATCCACGGCAGAGCGGGTGGGGATCAACATATTTAAAAAATATGTGAATCGGGTGCGAGTGTAGATTTAGTATATTTTATGCGAAGCGGATACATATCAGTTGAATTTAAACTGCGGGTATTCGCCACGCCAGCTTGCAAAATGTTTTTTAAAACATTATTTTAAATGATTTTATTTTAAACTTAATTAAAAATTACGAATATAAAAAATTAATTAAAATATATCATTTTAATTTTAGAAAATAAAATAATTTATATTATTAAAACTGAAGTACATTTGCGAGTTGTTTGGAAACATAAATAGCAGTTAATAAAAAGAGTATATTGTTGTTTGACAACATGAATTGCAATATATTTAAATAATAATAATGGGTTTAGTTATTAAGAAAAATTGAAAGTCTTTTGAAAAACTATATATTTGGGCCACCTTTACAATATATGAAAATGAGCCAGTCTAATTATCTAAAACATCTTTTGTTTAAAATAATTATAATACACAATTTAAATTTTATATACATATTTCAAATCAAAATTATAATTTAAAATTAATCCATAACAAAAATTGATTTTGAAATATACATATATACCAAATATGATTTACTAAAATATTTTCCAATAGCGATTATAAAAATAAGTTTTCAATATATATAAGAAAAATACAATAAAAACCCAATTTCAAACACCAATTTAAATTGAGGATTTTATATTTCACATTAAGCTTTTAAAATTATAATATATGTGATTATTTATATTAAACTTGTGAATTCGACTCTTTACCCATGGGCCCCACCAAGTTTGATCCACGTCAGAACGGGTGGGGATCAACAGAATTAATTAATATGCGAGGCTGTGCGGGTGTGAGTTTAATATATTTTATGCGAAGCGGATGCAGATTGGTCGAATTTAAATTTTGGGTATACGCCAACTCGCAAAATATTGTTTAAAAACATTATCTTAAATGATTTTATTTTTAAAATAATTTAAAATGACGAATATAAAAAGGTAATTAAAATATATTATTTTAATTTTAAAAAATAAAATAATTATTTTTAATGTTACCTACCCATAAATTTAAACTAGGTGGGTGCAAATATAATTTGTTTTACTTGCGAGTCAAGTGGATCAAAGTTTTGAATCATAAAATGATTCAACATGCAGCGTATCCATAAATTCAGCACTAATTTATATGATGGTATGCATAAATTTATATTAATTATAAGATTATTTATATGATAATACGTATAAAATACGATTTAATTATATGATGACATATATATGATATATAATAATTATATAAAATATAAATATACTTTTGAAAAACTACACCCATGCCGGAATACGAGTCAAATTCTAGTACTGCTTAAAACTGATTTTTGTTTTTTGTTTTTGAGAGTTGATGAAATTACTAATACGGATTGTAACGGCTTCGTCCTCTACCAGGAGCGTAGAGGCTACTAAATAAAATCATTCTAATTTGAACACAAGGTTGCATGAACTTGAAGCCCTGACCACATCATCTAATTTTCTGAACATCTTACGTCTCTCTTTCAACTTGTTCAGCTCTTTTGGTTTAATGGGATTTGCGGAGATAGTTGCACTCTTCAACCGTCTCGCATTCTTTAGAATATACGCAGCCACTTCTTCATTTTCGCTTTTCCAGTCATATCTTATCCACACAAATGTCTCTAGATGTGACAACAAACATTCAGGTGCATAGTTTGGCTTATTCCATTCCCAGCCGAACACACGAGAGTCAGGAATATATTTCTGTGAGCAACGAGACAAAGAGCACAATTCAATGTATATCAATAGTTCAATACTAGACCATCAAAATAGCTAACTGACTATAAAAACAATAAAATGTCTTACACCAACGAGTTTCAAGATTTGTAGATTAGGAGAATGTTCGAGCATCCTACTAAGTAGATCCCACCACCGTGATTCACGTGTATACATCTCTAGATACATGAGTTGATAGAAGATATCTCCAATTGGGGGGTATATAGTCTATCCACAAGACAAATTAATAATATAAACAAACAATGAGATAATAAGAAAAAAAAATCGAGTGTAAATATAAAACCTCAAAGTTACCTTCAAGGGTGATACATCCAAGACAAGACGTTTGACTGAAGTAAGTGTTGGGGTCAAAATCGGTATGACGGAATCAATGGCCGAAACTCCCCGCAGAAATATAAAAAGAATCGTTTTATAAAACTCGAGGATCGTTTTATCAAACTCGAGGACCGTTTTATAAAACTCGAGAATCGTTTTATAAAACTCGAAGAATCGTTTTATAAAACTCGAAGAATCGTTTTATAAAACTCGAGAATCGTTTTATAAAACTCGAAGAATCGTTTTATAAAACTCGAGAATCATTTTATAAAACTCGAAGAATCGTTTTATAAAACTCGAAGAATCGTTTTATAAAACTCGAGAATCGTTTTATAAAACTCAAAGAATCGTTTTATAAAACTCGAAGAATCGTTTTATGAAACTCGAGAATCGTTTTATAAAACTCGAAGAATCGTTTTATAAAACTCGAGAATCGTTTTACAAAACTCGAAGAATCGTTTTATAAAACTCGAAGAATCGTTTTATAAAACTCGAGAATCATTTTATAAAACTCGAAAAATCGTTTTATAAAACTGGAAAATCGTTTTATAAAACTCGAGAATCATTTTATAAAACCCGAAGAAACGTTTTATAAAACTCGAAGAATCGTTTTACGAAACCGCAAAAAACCGAAACAGCCGTAAAACGCGAACTAGTCACGACTAGTTCACACTCCCCTAGTTCGCCCATCAGAGAACTAAGCCGGGCCCGGCTTAGTTCGCCGATGGGCGAACTAGGGACACTCCACTAGTTCGCCCATCGGCGAACTAAGCCGGCCCGGCTTAGTTCGCCGATGGGCGAACTAGGAGGCACTCTACTAGTTCGCCCATCCGCGAACTAAGCCGGCCCGGCTTAGTTCGCCGATGGGCGAACTAGTCCATCTCGACTAGTTCGCCGCCGGCTTAGTTCGCCGATGGGCGAACTAGTCCATCTCGACTAGTTCGCCCATTGGCGAACTAGTCCCGTCCCGCCTAGATCGCCAATGGGTGAACTAAGAGGTGCTGACTTTTCCCCACTGGTTCTTTTCGCCTAGTTCGCCATATGGCGACCTAGCCAAGCTTAACTAGCTCGCCGTACGTCGAGCCGACCATCCCGAGCCTCGATCTCCCGCATCCCCGATTCAAAACTTACGTCTTTCGACACAGCCGCATTCTGAACCACGGCCGAAACGTCTCCCGTTCCGTCTCGATCCGACCTATCATTCAAGTTTTACGATAAAAACCGTAAAACTTCGCTTTCTCGGAAAGAACTCGAGGAAATCGTATAAAACGGCAACGGTTAAACGAAACACCGAACATTGCCTAAACTATACGATTTATTCGAGGTTTCTCGTTAAAATCATAAAAAACTCGTTTTAAATAAAAAACATCGAGAGAATCGTAAAAAAACGGCATCGGATCAGGAAACAGTCTCGTTAAAGTCGTAAAACGGTTTTTATCGTAAAACGGCACGAAAGGTCCTAAAACACGATAAAAACCCATCTCGCGACGTTAACGAAATCAAACCCCAAGATACGATAACGCTTTGACGGTTTACTCGTAGACGGAAGATAAAAGGCAAGTTTGAAGATAAATAGAAGATTTCCGCAGAAGAAAAGGAAGGATCGACAGATATGGAAAGTTCCCGAAATATTCGGTTTCGAGCAAAATGGAAAGACTAAAACCGCCTAAGGAGGAGTATATAAGGAGGAGGCATAGGGCAGAAGCTGAGGGACGAAATCTAGAGCTCTCATCTGAGACTTTTACAATTTTTCTACACTTAGAATTTTCCGCACTTAGAAACTTAGGCTTTTTCTCGACAAGTTCGGTTTCTATGACTGGCGCTCAATCACTAGACGAAATCGCCCAGGCAGTTCGATCTCTTGTCCAGCTCAGTCAACTGAACTACGTTCGACTTGATCCTCGAAAGGGGTACGTAGGCAGCCTTTCATAAGGTTCAGTCCGAAATCAATCAAACCTTTTTTCCTATCTTTTTCCGTCTTTCGTTATCGAGCTGCGACTCGACTAGATCTAGGGTTTTATGTTTGTAACTCGCTGATGGCCCCTGCGGCCAAAGCCTTTGTAATTCCTTGTAGTAATCGCAACGCTCTTACGCGAATCGGAAATAAGATCTACTTTTTCTTTAAATTCGTTTTATTACGTTTTTCGTATTTTTCCGCATTTATTTGGTTACTTGTCGTTGGCTTTCGGAGAGATCCGGTTACTCTGGAAAATTAGGGTTTTCCTAAGTTTTCTTATTTAACGGAAATCGACAAGTGTGAATTTCGGTTCCCACAGTTTGGCGCTAGAAGGAGGGGAGGTCGGATTACTCTTACTCATAGCCGCAAAACGCTTGACCAAAACGATGTCTGGATGTATGAAAGACAAAGTCGCAACTCGCAAAAAGACGCTGGTAAAACAACTCCAGCAGCGACTGCTCCTACAGCCAACGCTTGTGCAAACGCTGGAATACTCAACAAAATCGAAAACCTAATCGCGACTCTTCGCCACGGAAAGAGCAACAAAACAAGCTCACGATTTCTATCTCAGATCACTAAGGGCAACGGTAAAATCTATCAAACCCGATAGTGTTTTTCTTATTTCCGAGTTGGACAAATCTCACGCGTTAAGCAAAAGACGTTTTCCGAGAACATTTCGGAAAAATAAAACTTGCTCTCCCAGAAACCGCGGCACAAACCGTAACTTACTCGCGAAATAAATCCTAGGATACTGGCGGAAAAACCTAGGCTGTTCGCGGAAAATCCTTAGGTGACTCACGGAAAAACCGTAGGTTATTCGCGGCAAAACCCTAGGTTGTCCGCGGAAAAACCCTAGGTTGCTCGCGTAGAAAGCCTTAGGTGACTCACGGAAAAACCATAGGTTATTCGCGGCAAAACCCTAGGTTGTTCGCGGAAAAACCCATAGGTTACTCGCGTAGAAAGCCTTAGGTGACTCGCGGAAAAAACCGTAGGTTATTCGCGGTAAAACCCTAGGTTGTTCGCGGAAAAACCCTAGGTTACTCACAGAGAAACCCTAGGTTACTCGCGGAAAAACCCTAGGTTATTCGCGACAAAACCCTAGGTTGCTCGCGGAAGAACCTTAGGCTACTCACAGAATCGGCCAATACTAACCAGCCGAAAAGACGGTGAGGTGGCCAAGCAACCTAGCTTGCCATCTTGGCGAGCTGACCGGCCTTCCACCTCGTCCAAGAGGCACTGACTTTTCCCCGAGGGTCCGCACAATCCAACTCATAGCTATGGTGAGCCGGACCATACTCTAGACAATAATCGCACTGCTTTTCGTTTCGTCTCAATCAAAGTTTTCGTTGAGGTTTTACAACGAACACAAGATGGCTTGATGAATCAGGACCGTGCTCGCAGACTCACCATTAGGCAAGTTGGACAAGCTCAATGGTTTGAAACATCTCCATCTCGAATCTTGATCGAGACGCTTTTCGTTTCGTCTCAATCGGACTTTCCGTTGAGATTCTACGACGAAAACAAGTCAACTCGACGAATCGAGATCACCCGCGTCAAGCGTCTTAGCTCGCCGAACGTAGAGCTAGCTAGCTCGCCATACAGCGAGCTGACCCAAGCGCCTGGCTCACCCAAGAGACGCTGACTTCGCCCCATGGGTTCTTACAATCCAGATCGCCACACGACGAGCTGAAAGGGTTCACCCGACTAGCCTTACGTCGAGCTGAACCAATCCTCGAGTTCTCTCGAAGTCTTGACCGCGCTAATTCTCGTTTCGTCTGAACCGGAATTTCCATCGGGATTTTACGATAAAACCGCAAAGACTTGTTTCTTCGTATAAGTTCGAATCGATCGTCTAAAACGGCAACGGTTGACTTAACACCAAAGTTTCCTAAACTATACGAGAAATCTGAACTCTCTAAACCTAATCCGATTTTACGAAACTCTGCCACGCTAAGTCGAAAACATCCAATCATAAACACGTGATTGATTTTTTCGATATACAAAGCGCACCTAGTCGGTCAAATAAAACTAGCAGTACGAAGAAACAAGAACACGAGCTCCGATGGTTAAGTCTTCTCCCCGCTCCGATACTCTCGCTGGTAATTCGTCGAAGACCGGTAAGTCAAAAGACGAAGAGCGAAGAATAGACGACCCCAAATCATCGATGAAGCTAAGGTATGTCCGAGTCGAAAATTTTATTAGACTTCTAATTTCTCGTAGGTAAGAAACGAAAACGTCTTGTAAACTGCCAAGAAACCTAGAGAACTTAGAATTTAGAAGATAGTCTAGCATGCTAAGTCGTAAGCAATTTTTGTCTATCTCAATTTGTTGTTCTCTAACCATTCAGGCATAACTCACAAAACCGATCCAATCTCTCGTAAAACCAAAAAACAATCGCCACACATTCAAACGTACTCATTTCCTAGAAAGAAAGAAGGAGCTAGAGACGCTGACGTCGTCTTAAAACCGACTCGCTCTTAGAAGTTCTCGTAAATCAGACATACTCCAAGTCATCTCCGATCCACCATGGTCTTTAATCGACCCGGATTGTCGATCATCCCAATCCTTTAAACGAAACTCATTTTTCTTCTTTCGCCGAACATTTTTCCTCGCATCAAGAAAACGCTTTCTAAAATAAGCGGAAAAATATTCGGACGGCGCAAAGCCTCGTCGAAATCATCCCAAAAGCAAACGACAATCTAAAAACGTCTAAGCGCTAAAGACTGACCCAAACCGTCTGGGAAGTAATCTCGAGGAATATACAGCATCTATCGTCGCAATCATGCGGTTAGAAAATCTCTGCGAAACTTCAGAGCAGAACTCGATCATTTGCCGAAGTCATAAAGATCTTCTCGGACTTGATAAAACAAGTATAAGAGACAAAAAATTATAGGAG